GTAAATATTTACCTCCTCCTCCCCAAACTCCCCCCCCCCCGCCAGCCAAAGAGGCATGACTTATTTCAGAATATTCTTTGTTAATAAATCCAGTGTTTCCCAGGGTTGCTTCAAGAAGAAGCAGCCCGGGAAGCTAGTTCTGAATCACACTGCTTCTGCTGACTTTGTTTCCAAGGGTACTTGTCCCCAACTCAACCTGAGCTTGGAAAATATTTGTAGATCGAATAAATGTCATTATTTATTCTGTAGGCTCTCATAAAATATGGAACATTAATTGGATAATTTGTGTTTGCACCTGGAGGATGTGCTTCCTCTCCTGAGGGCTTTGTCCCTGCTCACCTCTGCTAGGTTCCCCCTTTCTCTTCTGGCTGTGTCTCTTGGTAATTAGAAGTGTATATCATTTTTGAGACTTATTTTGTATAGCTTCTTTTTTGTTATTGTTGTTGACGGTGGTGGTTCTCAGGGATTCAGATTTTTACATTGTTGCTCTTTTGTTTATCCTGCTATCTTGAAGCTTCCTGTCCTCTCTTCTCAGCATTTGACCAATAGATTCTTTCAAGTATGATGAGAAAACAGAGTGAATCAATGGCTTTGTACTTAGCTATCCATAGATCTTTAGCTTTTAAGCTCAATTCGTTTCAACGCTAGTGTGCAAAAGAAATGAAAATAGCTTCATTCTAAGAGCGGATTGTCTTAACTGTATGTCTTGTACGAGAGTCCAATCCTATTCCCCTTCCCACTTGATGAATTTCTATAGCAATTAAAGTACAATTTTAAAGTACCCATCCTCATGGACTTTTGTGTATGAATAATAAAAGCGAATGACATGAGTACAATATTCCAGATACTACAAAGTAGAAGTTAGCAAAAAGTACAAAGAACAAACTAAAACAGGGGGAGGAAAACCACAGCCTAGGAGCTAAGCATGGCCCCCACCCTGGTTTTGTATGGCCTATTAGATTTTTAAACTGTTAAACAAAATCAAAAGAAGAATGCTATTCTGTGACATGAAAACTAGTAGGAAATTCTAGTTTCCATGTCCCCAAGTAACGATTCATTAGAACACAGCCACATTCATACACTTAGGTATTATTTCTGGCTCCTTTTGTACTACAACTGCAGAGTAAAATATGGCCTGCAAGCTGGAAATATTTACTATCTGGCTTTTTATAGAGAAAAGTTAGATGACCTCTGGACTGAGCAGTAGATTATACTTGTGGTAGCTCATGTTCACCCTTGTAAAAACCATCAAAAACTTCATTCCCCCCCCTGCCTCCCCCTTGTAAGTGGTCTATTTCTCCATAACATTTGTTGAGATAATGACTCTGGAGAGCCAGAGGTGCCTGAGTGACTCAGTGGTTGAGCATCTACCTTAGGCTCTGGTCATGATCTCGGGGTCCTGGGATAAAGGCCCACATCAGGCTCCCTGCAGGGAGCCTACTTCTCCCTTTGCCTGTGTCTCTGCCTCTCTGTGTGTGTCTCTCATGAATAAATAAATAAAATCTTTTAAAAAAAGGACTCTGAAGAGCAAATTCGATTCAAGTTGACTTACCCTCTGAGTAGTTGGGAGTGGGAGAGCTGTAAATGAACGCACATTTGCAAATAATGGATTTACTTGTTTTATTCTGTGAACAATGAATTTGAAGAAGACTTTTGGTTAATTATTTTGCTGGTACGTTGGACTCCTGACATTTATAAGCCATACACACACACAAAACCTTCCATGGTCGCAGAGAGTGTTCGAAGATTCAGCGTCTCTGCTTTTACGTTCACCAAAAAGCACGGAGCTAAGGTCTCTGGTGACCACCTTCATTTAAATCTTTCTTGCTCCTGGAAGGGCTGGGCAGATTCAGTGACTACCAGTTTCAGGCAAGGGTGACCTAGCATTCATGAAGGAAAGGAGAACAGTGTTTTTGAAATGTAAACATAGGGTCTTTTAAACAACAGTTGTTGGTTTGTCGCTGCTCTTTCCTGATATTTGCTGCAGCCAGATGTCCCCTCCTGCTCCCCCGGTCTCCTGTCCCGGTGGCCCTTCTGTCTGAGCATCCTGCACGTCTGCCGCTGCCTGGCCCTGGGGTCCGCCCTCGCGGGTCCTGGTCAGGATCCATCGCAGCGCTGGAGCGTGGCAGGCCTGATCCTGCAAGATGCACACACGCAGCCTCTGTTTCCTCCTCTCTTCCATCGGCCGTGTTCCCCACGCTCCCTCCTTAGGAATGAGGGCCTCCTTTCAGCACAGTGCCAGGAGGTGGCACCCATGTGGGAGAGAGCCCTGGGACCCGGGCCGGGTGGAGGAAGAGGAGAGCCAGAGGCCGGCACACGAGTGGGGAGCCGCCAGGGCGCAAGAGGCGCTGCTCGCTCTCCAGTCCATCTGCGGACGATCCTATTCCTTGCTTTTGTGCATTTTTCTAGAACTGTTTCCTCTTGCATCTTCATGTTGGACAGGGGGAGGAAACCAAAACTGGGGGGGCCTTTGTGACATCACAGGCACAGTGGTGACTCCTTATTGTTCAATCCTTGTCGTGGCAGGCGCGTTTGTCCCCATTTTGTAGGTGAGCAACCCGGACCCGGGCCTGGGTGTCACCTCTCCTCGGCAGCACAGAGTGTGGGCGACTGGATCGGAGGCCACGTAGCACCCATTAAGGCCCGGGCACACGGCACCTTTGGGTTGGGCCTTCGTGTCCTGCATTCCAGAAAGGAGCTCATTTCCCTTAGACTCCAGGGGGCTGTTCAGGGCAGGCACATCCTTATCACACAGGGAACGTTGCATGTAGAAGCTGGACTCAGTGTGAGGAGGGGTTACAAAGGTGGGGTCATCAGGGGACCCCCTTAGAGTCTCTGTTCGGCACAGAGGTCAGCCGGGCAGAGGTCACAGGGGCAGAGCGGCCCAACCAGCTGAGTACATTCATCCCCCAGCAATGACTGGGGCCTCCTGTGACCTGGATAAGAAAACCATCGGTGCTGGTTGGGTGATTTGAAACCCCAAACTGTTCACTTTATTATTTAGAAATCCTTCAGAGCTCTTGAGATCATGACAATTCCTTTTATGCTCTTTTTCACAGGCTGTTCCATGCCATGTCTTTAGTGCGGTTGGTCGGCTCTAAAGGGTTTACTTAGTAAACTCCCTGTGATCCTGAGTTTCTAAAGACACATTCTGACGTTTTAACATCACGTTCCTGTAGGTCAGATAACTTCCACATGCTGCTTTCATCCTAAAGCGTGCGAGGTGTCCTCAGGATGGGCTGCTGTGTCGGTATGGATGGTCCCCCCGAAGCCTTATCAGGGGGCCTTCGTGTGTGAACCTGCTTCCCTGTCAGCCCGTGTGCCATCTCCCCCCGCTGCCCGCCTCCCCCCGACACAATCGTTGCATCACAGCCACACTGGGCTCCCCCATGAATTAGGAGATGGATAGTTTCCTCCAATTGCTCACTTCCTGGGAGGCCCTTTGTGCCTTCTCTGTGTATTTAATGTCTGTCTGTCCTTCCAGGAAGCCCCGCCAGAGGCTGCCTCCTCCGTGATGTCCTAGCTGATTTCCTCCCTCCCTCCTCCCCTAGCACTAGTGTGGGGTCTCCTCACAGCGGGTCGTAAACACATCTGTTCCATGGTCTTGACTAGAAGCTCTGAGCCTGGAGGTCATGGTGGTTTACATCTCTCAAGTCATAATTGGCTGAAGTGTCTTCAAAGCATTGATTGGGTTGTCCCTGAAGGAGCAGACCTCTGAAAAATTAAACATACTTAGCGTTCCAAGTGAAGTAGTCTGAAATTTTTAAACATTTAAAAAAGACTATTTATTTGAGAGAGAGAGAGCATGCATGCATGAGCATGCATGTACACGCAAGCACATGCAATGAGGGGGCAGACGGAGGAGCAGAGAGAGAATTCCAAGCAGATTCCCCATTGAGCAAGGAGCCTGATGCAGGACTCAATCTCATGACCCTGAGATCATGATCTGAGCCAAAATCAAGAGTTGGAAGCTTAACCCCTGGAGCCACCTAGGCGGCCCTGAAATTTAAAAAAAGAATATTTTTTAAAGATTTTCATTTATTTATTCATGAGACACACAGAGAGAGGCAGAGACACAGGCAGAGGGAGAAGCAGGCTCCTAGCAGAGAGCCTGATGCTGCGGGACTTGATCCCAGGACCCTGGGATCATGATCTGAGCCAAAGGCAGACGCTCAACCACTGAGCCACCCAGGTGCCCCTGAAATTAAAAATATTAAATACGTTGCAAACTCTTCTCAGTACCAGAGGGGGCAGTGGTAACCTGAAAGCTGGTGTGTGATCCGGCCACCTTGACAAGACCCTGTATCTCTTTGAGCCTCAGTTTCCAGTTAAATAAATATATCTGAAAAGGTGAAAATAACTGCCTTGCCTCCTCTTAAAGTTTTTGTGAGGATGAAATGAGATATCACCTTTGAAAATGTGTTAGAAATCACAAAACTGCTTCAAATATAAAATCACATGGTTGTATTTAAGAACACTTCACTGGAATTTAGACGACAGCCGTGCTGTGGAAGTACTATGAACCTCTGTCATTCAACTTCTTTTTTTAAATTTTTTTAAATTTTTATTTATTTATGATAGTCACAGAGAGAGGGAGAGAGAGAGAGAGAGAGAGAGAGAGAGAGAGAGGCAGAGACACAGGCAGAGGGAGAAGCAGGCTCCATGCACCGGGAGCCCGATGTGGGATTCGATCCTGGGTCTCCAGGATCGCGCCCTGGGCTAAAGGCAGGCGCCAAACCGCTGCGCCACCCAGGGATCCCTGTCATTCAACTTCTGATGTAAAGTTGCACTTATGCCTACCCCATACATCATGAATAGTCTTAAGGAGATCATCTGACTTTTGCATCATACTCTGCAAAGCCAGTCTGTAGCCGACCGATTATGCTCACCTGGGAGGTTTTGAGATAGAATCTATCAGTTCTGGCAAAGAGAACCAATTTACCTTCACCCTACGTCTTGCACAACCCAAATGTTTTTTCTTTATCTTTTTTCCTTTACAGGCTTCCATCTGTATCACAAGTTGCCCACGATAGTGCCGGAGAGCTGCCTTCTTATAATGGTTGGCCTGCTGCTAGGAGGGATTATTTTTGGGGTCGATGAAAAGTCCCCCCCTGCGATGAAGACTGATGTGTTTTTCTTGTATCTCCTCCCACCCATTGTGCTTGACGCGGGCTATTTCATGCCCACACGCCCATTCTTTGAGAACATTGGCACCATATTCTGGTATGCTGTGGTAGGGACCCTTTGGAATTCCATTGGCATTGGGGTGTCTTTGTATGGTATCTGCCAGATTGAAGCCTTTGGCCTGAGTGACATCACCCTGCTCCAGAATCTGCTCTTCGGCAGCTTGATCTCAGCCGTGGACCCCGTGGCCGTGCTCGCCGTCTTTGAGAACATTCATGTCAATGAGCAGCTCTACATCCTGGTCTTTGGAGAGTCTCTGCTGAATGATGCAGTGACAGTGGTGAGTAGCATGTTCACGCTGTGTCCCTCCAACACCACTGGGCGCCACCGGTCTGCATCAGCTTTCTGATAATGACAGCTGAGGGAGACCCTCACACAGCTCTGCACTGGGACGGCCCCTCACTCAGCTTAATGCTCTGGTATTGCTGCCTTGAAATGTTGTGTAACATTCTCTTTATTGACTATTGACTTTTTAAATTCATTATTACACATTGGGCCCCTCATTTTTGTTTTGCACTGGGTCGCGCAATCTATGTAGCTGGTCTCTGCTTGCAAGGTCCTGCTGGTGCCAGGGGGGCATCAAAGTGATCGTGGCCTTTCTACCTCTGAAGATTTCTCACTTGGCATTTTCAAAAGTGATGGGCTTTGATCAGACTCGAAGGACTTCAGGTCCCAGAATTCATTGTGAGACATGATGCTGGCAGTCTACTATGTGTAATAGAAATGAAACGACGATACCTACCGAGTGCCATTCTGTGTCTGGGGATGGTTTATTTATTATTTTGTTATTTTAGGCCAGTTTTCCATTACACTCTCACTTTCTGTTACTACTCAGCCAGCTGATTTCTGGTCCTCACCATTTTCCCCATAACTGGGTATTTATTCAGAGAATACAAATTTATTTTTAATTCTCACTAATTAACACATAATTAGAGTCAGAGGCTGTTGTGATCTTAATGTTAACAGAATTTACCTCTGCCCTTCCTGAGTTCCGGCAAAATTTGGAGAAGTGGTAAGGAAGCCTCTCTCCACCACCCATGAGGCCTACAGGTTGTTCCTCCATCAGTGAAAGACACACAGGTGACCCTGTATCAGTAAACCAGTTAGGGAGCACCAGTGATGCAGTTTTATGCTGGCCCCTATTCTGCAGTGATGATGCATAATTGTCCGCATCACTGTGAACCTCTTGTGAATGCCTACATTGTGCTCGGGTCTTTACAACTATATAGTAATTATTTTTCTCATTTGGTAGGTAAGACACTTGAGGCAGAGAAAAATATTAAAAGATTTTAGGTAACTAGTTTATAGTACCCCCTCCATTAGTTCCTTTCATTAAAATATTATTCCTGATCCATTTAAAAGTCTGCATAGATACCAACATCACCCTCCATGAGCTTGTATGCAGACCCCCAAACTGCATAAAATGTCATTTTGAAGGATGTCCATTAGCTCCCTGTGGACGTTATTGGGTAGAAAGTAATTGATAAGGAAATCCCGTTTTTTTTAGAATAGCTGCTAAGATAGCTATTTTAAGGCAGCTAAGGTACCTCATTCAAGTAACAAAATACACTCCATTTATTCCATTATTCATTAACAGTGATTTGTCCTAGACTTAGCAATTTTAAATTATAACTGAGAGACTACCATGATGATGAAGACATTTTGTAATTCTAATTTCCAGAGGCATCAAGGTTTTCATGGTGATTTAGGTTTGATAGATACATGTTACCCTTGTTGAGGTAGATTGTGGACATTTTTTTTTTTAGATGGGGACATTTTTAATAAGGATTTCTTGGATCTCTTTCTTGTATAGGAAACTTTATAAAGAAATAGTAACAGCCCTGCTGCACTCATTCTAGGGCAGTCTAGCAAGGCCAGCTCAGTTTCAGTGTGATATGCCATGCCTTTACCCTGCTTTCCCTTCTCTTAAAAAAAAAAAATTCTCATTCAGAAACCTCAGTGTCCATTCTTTGAGTTTGTCAGGAATCAGACCTGAGGAAACAATCTGACTAAACCACCATTGAAAGTGTGCAAAGGCCCCAGGTTTTCCAGAGGTACATCTGTTGCCTCCTGTCAAGAGGCCCCAAGCCATCCAATGTGGTTTTATGGACAGAGAGGGAGTCCCTGACCCAGAGAAGGCAGCGGGCCAGATTGAGGGCGCTGTTCAATAGAGGAAAGAGGGCAAGGACAGAGAAAGGGCGTGGCTGCTCTTTAGATGTAGAAGCCCTTGTTACAGGCCAACGCCTGTAAGTCAGAATGACTGTAAGGATTTCCCGTGTATGGACCTTCCTCACGTTATATACCCAGGGCTCGGAGCCCCGTGGACCCACACCTACAAGCTAGCAGGCATGCCTGAGGGTTTTGCCCTCCTAAAGGTGAAGAAGAAGCTTCCTGGTATCATAGCCACTGAAATGCCTGAATAGTGGACTGAACGGATCAGGTGTTAGGAATGATTAGAACCACATTGTTAAAAAAAAAAAAAAAGATCATTTTGCCTCCTAGTCAGGTACCCTTGGAGTACAGAGGTAGAATCCATGTTTTATGGATTCTTTGACTTCTCGTCTTATCTCTAGGAGAGGTTTAAGGAACTCACGGGGTAGGGAAAGGCATGAAAAGTATGGACCCTGCTGCATACGGTGAAGATGATGAGTCACTAGGAGTTGCAATGAGAAGGGTAAAGATTAAACAGGAAGAATTCATGTTAAAAATCTAGTCTGGAGGAGGAGTAAAATTAAAGGTCAATGCAATTCATTCTGTCCCCAAATCTTGGTAGATACAATACTGAGGGAGCAGCGTTAAGGGAAGAAACCTACCGTAAAAATGTTTTGGTGCGAAGAGAAATGAATGCTGTATAAATTGCAGTCCAGCCGTGCCATTGTCCACGGCTATGTAGATTGGAATCAGCTGGAGAAATGACAGCTGAAGGAGCAAAGGTCAGATTTTTAAATAGAATTTCTGTGCTTTCCTTTACCATAAATATTTTAGGAAAACTTTTCAAAATTTTCCTTATTAGGCCAAGATCGCTCAGGGTCTTAGTTGTCAGATCAGCCCTGCCATCCCACAGTCATGCAGAATCAAGTGACTTAAGCTCGCGTGGTCATTTCCAACATCATTTCTAGAACATTTTAATAATGCAACCATTGAATAATCTAACGCATTTTCCAAGAAGACTTAAAGAATTTCCTCAATCTGCCACAACGAGGCATGGTTAGGGAGAACTGGCTCTTTGGAACCGGGCAGCAGACGGGCTTCATCGCCCAGGCATTATGAGCTGTGCACTGGTATTTAACTTCAGGAAGCTGGAAGATAAACAGTAACCACTTGCTACTCATTTTTCCTCTTGCAAATAGTAGAATATATTTAAAATTCCTATGCAAAAATGATTGTTTCTTGTATTTCATATTAAAAAAAAAAAGTGACCCAAAAGCTATTTTTCTGGAACAGAGCTATTCTCATAAAGAACTTGGTATTGTTTGCATCTTTGTGTGTTACATTATTTCACTGTCTCACACCTTTTAAATCAAAGATCAAAATAGATAGTTTCTAATTCATATATATACATATATATATATATATGTATGTATTTTAGGAGTCTCCTACTCTACCAACTGAGCTAGCTGGGTGCTTATATAAGTATTTAAGAAATCACAATAATGAGTAGAATGATTTGAAAGTACTCAACTGTCGAATTAGCCCACTATAAAATAAAGTCAGTGCTGGTATCTGGGTCTTTGAAAAACACAGTTGTCAAGTTGAGGTCAATTTTGCACAGAGCAACTAGAGACATAATTGTAGCCAACATACCTAGTATATATGCATATGCAGATGTAATTTATAACCCCAACAGTACTTTTCTACATAGATTCCCTTGTGTTACGATGAAAGCATTTAACTAGAATGAACTAGCTATGGATTATGGCCAGTGGTAACTAAAAGAATTTTATCTTGTGCTGATCACTGGGTATCAGGTTCATTGTAAGGCAGGTTGGAGGGTATGGAAAGCTTTCTGGTTGTCAAGGCAACGTCTCTACCTAAGACATTGCCCCGTAACATTGCCCTGGCATCTGAGGCAGTAGAATGATCGAACTAGAGCTTCTGGCCCATGTACTGAAACTTCAGTGCCTATGACTCAGCAAAACCTAAGGAGATATTTAAAACCAGCCTGTGCCTTTGATAGATTTGTTTTCTGCAAAACCTAAAGAGATATTAAAACCACCCTGCCCCTTTGACAGACTTGATGGATTGAGTTGCCAGGAAAAGACTATGACTGTGAGGTTGTTCCTTAGGGACACAGGCCTGAGTCTCCTTTGGAAGCCTCATAAATGTGCTTGATGGGGTGGGGAGGGGAGATACAAGAGAGGAGGAGGAGGAGATGCGGGTTCTGTGCAGGAGGACTCTTGAATTTTGCAGGGAAATGAGGTGGGCAACCAGGAGGCAGCACCCACAATGCAAGATGGCAGGTCCCCAAAGCCTGACTGGTTTGGAAGATCACCTTTGTTGCAGGAGGGCAACAGGTGATTTGAAGGGGCTGTAGGAGTTCAGGAAGGCTCTTGAGGGGGAGCAGCAGCTTCAGCTGGGCCATGGAAGACAGATAAAGTCTCCCTGGGCTTAGGAGCTGGGTTCCTCCTGAAAGAAACCACAAGGAGGGAACCAGGGGCAGTGATGAATTATGGTATGCTTTGTGGATCTGTGCTGTGACTCTCCCAGGCTGAAGGGTGTTGGAAAGCAGTTTAAAAAAAAAAAAAAGAAAAAGAAACAGCAGCAGCAGCCAGGTATTGAGCTTTCCTAAAGTCAAGGATTTTAAACTTGAGAGTGACAAATGGAATAACATTATTTAAAGGAAGTGAGTCTTGCATTGGCCATAGGGAGCATGGGAGCCAGGGCAAGCTGAGATTTGCCAGTGTAGGTGGGAGTGGGGGGGGGGGGGGCAGAAGCCTGGGAGTCTAGGGACAGACCAGCAGAGACCAAGTGGCCTGGGGGCTGTGGGAGGCGCTGTCTGTGCAGAGTGGGCTGGCAGGGAAACCCAGCTCTCTCCTCTGGCAGCAGGTGACTGTCACCCTTTGGCCTTGGCTCTTCGGAGACAAGGGGTATATATAGCACATCTCTGACCTCCGGGAGCCACCACGGCTGCAGATGCTCACAGGATCCATGAGGAGCCTCTGGCCGGAAGCGGAAGCGGCTGCTGCTATGGGTCAGTTTCTCTTCCGGCAAGTGATGATACTGTCAAGGCATTGAAATCCTCAGGGGAAGGAGCTGCTTTTCCTCCCCCTTTTTACTCAAGTCTTTCTTGATGGTACAATAGCAAATGCTCTTGGATGTCACGCCGACGATTATGAGAAAAGAAAAGCCCACTCACATCTAAGCATAACCTGCTGCTTTCTTCAAAGTCGGCGGACATTTATTGTCATCTCCCAGGCAGCACGGAAAAGGCAAATCATAATAAGGAATGAACCTTGAGCACAAGGAGCTTATGAGCCAGCAGAAAAGACGGAAAAATTACATAAAAACCTGCAGCTGTGGTGGGCCCTAACGGACCTTCGGTGAGGCCAAGAGTGGAGTCGACTCTCCCCAGATCACATGCTGGCTCCCAGGGGCAGAACCTGACTCATTCTCCCATGGTTGAACCTTGAAAAACTCACCCAGAAGGTCAGGAGACCTGGATTTTCGTATCATGTCTGACATTTTGCGTGACCATGGACCAATGGGTTCAATTTTAGTTTCTCAGAAACCAAATAAAGGTGTAGCACGGCCTGTACCGTAAAAGGCCTTCATCCCAGTGTCCTGCCAGCCAGCTCCCCTGGAGATTCTGGCTGTAAATAACACAATGAAAAGAAGCAGGGCACCTGCTGGACTCATATTTTCCCTGCTGGCTTTGTAAAACATGTGGTAGGGCCTAAGCCATCACTTCCTGTTTCAGTTGGCACAGTAGCCCTTAGAAACAGGCTTGTGAGCATATTCCCTAACAGACGTGAAGTGCCTAGCATTTTTGAAGCTTAATTAGACTAAGACCATGTAAAGACTGTGTGGATTTTTCAGAAGCCAAACAGCTGTGGAGGCTCATTACTTTTAAAAAGGGACAAAATATGTATGAAATTATAGCACATGTACACACAACACACACATGTACACAGCACAGGTGGCTGCCTCTTGGCTTTAAGAAAGAGGATTTGGATCTCATGTTATAGCAGATGTGTGTGGGGGGGGGTTGGGGAATGGGGTGAAGTGAAGAGGGAAGACCTCAGTGTCCTGGGAGGAAGATATCTTCAGGTGTGGTACCTGTACTGATGGCTGGGGCCCCTTCCATGGCAAGACCCATAAGAGAGCCTTGCAAAGTTACTAAATTCACAGCAAGCTTGACCAGCTTTCTCTCTGACCAACTACTTCCCAGCATCGGTAACACAGCAAGGCCTGTTGGATGGCAGCCAAGTCATTTAAAATTATCTTTTAGATGGTATCTTAGGAATAATATTTAGGAGTCAGTGGCATCATAATCACGAACTCTCTTCTCTCTCACTTTGAGAAATAGCTTTCCGGGCAACATACTTTTATCATAGCTTTTTGTTCAAAGTTATTGAATATCATATTAAAGCATGAGAGAGTGCAATACTTCACTGTCACTGATCATCGACTTGGGTGTACAGAAGAAATGTCCTTGTTAGAAGGCCAGCTGAATTTTTCTGTGAATGTAGTGAAAACGGTGAAGTTGGAGTCTTGACCATGGCCTCTCTTTCTCCCACAGGTCCTGTACAACTTGTTCAAGTCTTTTTGCCAGATGAAAACCATTGAGACCATTGACGTGTTTGCTGGAATTGCAAACTTCTTTGTTGTGGGAATTGGTGGGGTGTTGATTGGCATCTTCCTGGGATTTATAGCAGCATTTACTACTCGGTTCACGCATAACATCCGAGTGATTGAACCACTCTTTGTCTTCCTGTACAGTTATTTGTCCTATATAACAGCCGAAATGTTTCACCTCTCAGGTATCATGGCGTAAGTATTTACCTCTTTGTTAAAAGTACTTAGTTTCATTAAATTTAAGTATTCTAAGCCAAGATGCTAAGGTCAAATAAGTTTTATAAAAGAGGTTCTCTTGAATTCTTCTCAAAAAAATTGAAAATGAATTTTCCTTAACTCTTTGTGTCAAATAAATGAAGAAATTCCGCTAAATTTATACTAAAGTGATCTCATACTAGAATGGAAAGCTACCTAAGAATTATCTCTTGACTCTCATATGAAATCTGACAATAAACTGTCAGAGTGGATTGTCAGGCACGAAAAATTTTCTGAGTTTGATGCCCACTCAGGGTAGTCCATGTGGGAAGTTCTATGCTTGTTCCAGTAAGGTCATATCACCTAAACTGCATCTGGAATTCTAGAATTGCTTATGGATATTCATTTGAATGATATTAGTAGTAGGGAACCTTCACTTTGTGTGCTAGATTTGATTTGAAATAATGGCGTTCAGTCATTCACAGCAGAATCCAGTGAATAAGGCACGTAATCATGTCATTCTGGCTTTCGCTTTTTAAATAAAGAGGCATGATTATAAAGCAAGGAATTCTTTATTACAGATGCAGTTAGTGTATCATTCACTAATGGATTTGGAAGGACGATCTCAAGAAGCTCTGCAAGTGGGCTGAAGATGGGTGGTGTTGGGATCTGATTCTAGCCTTCCGAGCATCCCTTTGAAGGAGGTTCCTTGTTGGGCGTGGATGTTTTTGTAACAAAGCTTCCAAGAACAAGTCTATTTATTATGGTCACACCCCATATAGGGTTAGTGAGAAATACTTAGTAATGAAAAGCCTTTATACGTTTTCATTTTGGCAGATACTTACAGCTCGGTAGGTGCTGGGCTCTATGCGAGGGCCAGCTATATATCAAGTTTTTGAGTGGTAAACATAGGTCTGCAGCCTGATTCAGGCATTGCTTTAAGGACAATTTGTTTTTCACCTCTTTTGTATGGGAAGCAGATTAGATTTGTGGTGGAAGAGGTCAAGTGCCTCTCCCTGAGGAGAGTGAGACCCATTATAATGCTAGCCATGAGGTAAAGGCTGTATGGTTTTCTGTTTCACAGAGAACCTAAATAAAGCAACATATTAATCCAGTTTGACCCAGTCATGAAATGTTCTGTATCTTCCTGGTTGCTATTCATATCATTTGTATGACTTCCAGTTGCTTCACTGTTCTTTGACCAGTGTCTTTGAAAGTGTGTGAGCACTTTCAAGGTCTCTAAAGAATGATGGCGGTGGGACTTTGTGGCTGCATTCCAGCAGTGTTCTAATAGCAGTTTGTGTGAGAACCTTGAATATATTTGGACCACATGCATAAGTAGTAAATGTTCTAGAACACTCATATGGTTGTCTGAATACATGTGTCAATTGGCTTGAGGTTGGGGGCAGGAACTGTGATGGGAAGACCCAGAGTACGGGATGGGGGTTAAAGTGTTGGAAGGAGTTGGGGTTGGTGCATCTTGCTTAGCGATGTCCATGAGGGCCAGAGTCCACAGAGATTGGAGGCTGGTGCTTCATCAAGATCCTGACCTCCTGTGAAGATGGGATTATTATGCATTTACTCGCTCTGGGAGTTAGGAAATAAGGGGCAAATAGGACACCGTGTTCCTGGTAAACAGCACAGATAATTCTCTGCATGATTTGTTGCTGGAAGAAAAACATCCCCTCTGTTTCCAACTTCAGAGTGAACATTTATTTTACAGTTTAGCATACAGAAAGGTCCTTTATTACATTTGAACTAATATTGTCATTGCACACAGTGCGCTAAAATAAGGTAACTCTTAAATGAGATATTATGAGAGGTTTAAAACATTTTTGGGGGTCTGGAATTACCATGCACACCCATTACCTGCTGATAGCCAGTGAAGGGACAGATTGACATTGGAGTGTGTGTGTTCTCAGAAGTAATGCCCTGTTTTCTAATGTGAGGTGATTAGCATGATATTCAGAACTCGCCCACGTGTGCTGTCTGCTGCTTCTGTATGGTGTACATTGTAGATGCGAGTGATCCCCGCTTTGAACAACATGCACTTCCACGTTTTAAGTACCGTCCTGACCTTGGGATGTTGGTCCAGAGGATCCACTGTAACGATGCAATTAAAATTGCATACCGGTGTGCACTTCTTTTATAGAACTAGTGATTTTTCCACATTTCAGTTGCCCTGAGTTTAGGATTCCTATCATACTTCTATAATTGCACTCTTTTGCCATTTAAAAACAAATTTTAAGGTAAATGGGAGGGAAGGCATGTGACATGATGAGCATGCTCAGTAATTTCCCTTGTTTGCTTAAGAGAAGTGGGTGGCCACACAGAAAGGAAAAGAAGCACTGAGGTTAGGCAGCCGGGGGGCAGAGAGGGTAAAGCCCCTTTCAGAAACTGTAAAACAGTGTAGCGACGTGACTCTGCCTGCCTGAGTTTTGCAAGTTCTCCTCCCTGTCTCCCTCTTCTCCTTCCTTCTTTCCATCTCTACTTCCTCTCCCTTCCCCTTTGGATTGCCTCTCAGATCCAATCCTCTAATCCCCTGTGCTTTCAGCTTTGTCTTGGGCTGGCTCTTAGGCAGCCCGTCCTAGATTGAGATCACACTCAATGAACAGGAAGTTGACACGAAAGTCTGGTTAAAAACAAAACAAAACAGAGCACTGGGTGTTATATGCAACTGATGAACTAGTGAAAACTACATCTGAAACTAATGATGAACTGTATGTTGGCTAATTGAATATAAATTTAAAAAAGAAAGAAAGAAAAGAAACATCCTTCTGCAGAACAGAAGAGTAGGGTCTGGGTTCAAAATGCAAATCAGTCTCTTAGATAGGAAAGCTCTGGGCAGGACTGCAGCATCTTCATTTCTTTCGAGAGATGTCGGAAGCGATGTACCTCAGGTAATCACAAAACTCTACTTGCAACTATTGAGTTGGCGTCATGGAATTGTGGTGTGATGGGATTTTCACCAAAAATAAGTAAGTGACATAATACGAGGTGGTGTTCTATCTACCTTCTGCTCCTCTGTCTTATGAAAGCTATTTCGAGGGGTTCCTGGAGGTGCAGTTAATTGAAGGTCTGACTCTTGGTTTCAGAAAAATACTCAGTTAAAACACTGACGAGTCCCCATTGTCCCCTTCTTTAACCAAAGACACGAAAACAAATGTCTAAGATGATTCTCCCTCCCCTCCAAAAAATTCCTTAAATCAGATCCATAAAGAAGTGAACTGAAATAGGACTTTATTACCTTCTTGTGAATGGCAGGCACCTTTTCTGGTCCTCATCTGTACCCCAGCACAGTCTCCTGTATTGTAGTCAATAAGACATCAAAAATACAGGGTCACAAAGGAGGGGATGCTTGGTCTCCACAGCAGCTTGCAGCCTGTGGGGATGTGTGGATTTCTCTTGGAGGTGCTCTAGGCATTTCAAAAAATGGCTAGGTCATCCTTTGGATAGGAGAGTAAGGACCCAATATTTCTAACTTTTTAAAAACATTTTATTTATTTGTTTATTTGAGGGGGAAAGAGAGCATGAGTGGGGGTGGGGGCTTGGAAGGTGGAGCTGGTGAGGAGCAGAGGGAGAGGGACAAGCAGACTTTGTGTTGAGCATGGAGCCTGATGTAGGGCTCAATCCTATGACCCTGAGATCATGACCTGGGCAGAAATCGAGAGTCAGATCCTCAACCAACTGAGCCACTCAGGTGGCTCACTTACTTGTTTTCACAGATTCATAATTCCTTAGTCTTCCCTCTCTTGGGGGGTATATAAGATGTTTTCCATTTGCTGTTTCAATTATTCTAGCAGTAAAGAAAATAGGAAATGGTAAATATTAGTACTGTCTGATGAATGAGTAAATTGAGGCTCAGATGGGCAAAAAACATGGCTACTGATGAGTCTGTGGAAGTTGGGCCTAGACCACAGGTCTCCAGTTGTCAGGCCAGGCCAGCACGTGCCCTAGCATCCACTTAAGAAAAGAAAATCAAGTACATTTCAATGAAATTTTTAAGTGAGGCTTTTAGCAGGAATTTCCAGAATGGTAAGCTCAGGTATGAAATCTAGGAGCAGGCCACGCTAGCAGGACTAAGGCAGTCACCGCTGAAGATGTGAAGACCAGATTCTCTCTCCTTGTTTCTTTCTGTATGAGCTGGTAATTGTCATCCATTTCAAACTTGGAGAAAAATAGGAAAGCATGTCTCCGTTCACCATTTTGAAGCTTCCACCTGGTCCCTATGGGGAGAAAATGTACACCACATTGAAGGACAATCATAAAACCTTATACAAGTTTCTTATGTAGGTACAGATATATGTGTATTTATATGTATGTAAGACAGGATTCTTTTATTAGTTTTTTCCCAGATTTGTCTCATGTTTACTGAATGTTTTTCTCAGTGTACAAATATGACCTGGAGCTTTAACAAATCAATCTGGATAATGTAACCTGGATAAATACTTGCCTGCCTGCAAGTCATCAGCTAGTATGCACTCTCTGGCTTGGCCTCCATGCAAATCCAATTGGTCGTAAAGCCTGTTGAAACAGCAAGCAGATCACATCAGCTTATTTCTAGTTTGAACTTCAAACTTCAAATGCACTCCCTCATACTCTCCCCCCTCCCCCCCCCCACACACAAGGAAGAAATGGCCTTTAAGTACTGTGTCTGCTGCATAAGAATTAGCTTATCCTTCAGCCAACACTTGAAAGTTAGTTACTGGTTTCATTGCAGGCCAGCTGGAGCTCTTGAGGCAGGGCAGGTCAAGAATGGACGAGGGATGCTCTAAGGACAGGCCCAGGTTTGGTGCCACTCGGCTTTTAGGCATGCATGTTGCAACCTATCTATACTTGCACCTTCCTCCTCTCTAAGCCGTGTTTCCCTATAGCACTTTAGAGCTTGTAACACTAACATTTTGGGATAGAGAGATGTACAGAAATTGATTCTAAATAAGCAAAGTATATTCTTATTTCTAACAGCATAAGCTAAATGAACAGAGAGGTACTCTGTTTTA